GGGAACACGAGTCTCGGAGACAGAGACAAACATGCCAAAGTCTAGTCAACATTTATTTTTTTAATGCAGTGCAAGTGAATTCTCCTTAAGACATACTAGCTTTATGGAAGCTAGTAACGAAGAGGAAAAAATCCATATGGGAGTGGTGATTTTTCCCTGCTCATTTCAAAAATCTACATTTCTGTGTGTATGAAATACTGTGAATATAAAAAATGCTCTATTACAGCCTAATAACTCAAACCAGTTTCCTGAGGAGAGATTGCTTCCTCACTTTTACACTATTTCTCTCTGCAAGTGATATTAAATAAGGCTGTAAAGCATTTATGAGGAAACAAAGAGAGTTGGTTGTTCAGAAAACTGAAGTTTCCTTTGCTAACTCTGTTTGGCAATAACATGAGGCAGAATCAAACCACCCTAGCCAAAATAAATCTGCACAATGGAGCTATCAGATATGAGGTAATAGTGTGACATGTTTGTGGGTATCAGACATTCCTGTAAAAACCACGGACATAAAATTTGGTCCTGCACCATTAAGCCACATTTCTGCCAAGCAACAACACAAAGCACACACTTTAAATCACTGTTGCAAGCCAAATGTAATTCCCACCAAAAACAATTAAATCTTTTACCAGAGGTCTGTGCCTGGGCAGCTCACACTCTGAAAATCACTTCAGTGGCAGGGAATCTGAATCTCATTTCAGTGTGAAAATGAGCTGGTCATTGTTCCGATCAGGAGGAAATGTCAGTTGCAAAATACAGGGCAGTCAAATGACTGTAACTTAAAGTGATACTTGCTGAGGTTAGATTTAAAAGAGTCAGCTAAGAAATCTGTAAGTCCTTCCTGATAGCTGCAAAGATCCTTTTATAGTGTTTGTTTTTTATCATTAGAAAAATAATTCATGCTTACTCTAGAGACGTTTTAAAGTATGTAAGAATACATTGAATAAAATATAATTTCAGTCTCTTGCCACTCAAATATAAACTTTATAATGTCTTACTGCATTTCCTTTCAGTCTTTTACACACACACAGAGCTTCCTCTGAGAGTACATATTTTGCTGTGTGCAATGCACAACTTTTTGCCCAAATTTTTGAGGGAAAAATAAGGATGTACATTATTCATGGGCCATAGTAATTCTGTATCTATATAAATGTTTTTAATTCTTTTATTTATGCTTATGCATTAAAAGTGTAACTCTAGAAAGCAATAATGATATCCATATGCAAAATAATACCCTGGAATATGATAATAGGTTTTGTCCCTACATATAAATAAATAAATAAATAAATAATTGAATTAGAAAATTAAAATGGAAGGTTTTTTTTCCTGAAAGTTTGGGCCAAAAACATGGGTGCGCATTATACCTAGCAAAATATGGTATGTGTAAATTTTAGATCATTGTATGTTTTTAGTATTTTGCTTTTTAATTTTCGCTTAGCACTTTAGTATTACCCATCCCTTTATACAAAGACAGGATATATAATGGTTATATAATATTTTATTTGTCTGACTATACTATAATTTATTAAATATTTGTTCACTCTAAAGGTAGTTTCCCATTTATTGCTAGTATAAGTAGCATTTTAGACAGAATATTGTTCACATTTGTAATTATTTTTAGGGTGGAATTTTAGAAATAGAATCCTGAGGTCCAAGGGTAGAAACTTTTTGAGGCTCTTGATATGTATTGGCAGATACCTTCCAGAAAAGTTGCTTATTTCCATCGGCTGTGTCTGTAATTGCCTGTCTTACCTGTGACTTGTTAGCAGCAAGCAGCATCTTCAGTCGGGGTAGGTGTGGGTAGGGGAGAATGTAACACGCTCCGGTTCACTGTTTCTAAACATCAGACTATTTGTTAAACATCACCAGTAAATGTTCAGCATTGTTCCTGGCACTGAGAATATAGTATTGAACAAAAGAACCCCAAATCCTGTCCTCGTGGAGATTACATTATACTAGGGAGAAAAAAATAAAGTAAATAAGTAAATCATATGAGATGTTAGATGATAAGTGTTAGGAAGAAAAAAAGCAAGAGAGGGAGATGGGCAGTGTGGGCAGAGGCAAGGAGGGGGAGCATTGCATGGTTTGCAAATACTGTTGGGATGTTGGGTGTTTTCTACTTTTGAGGACATTTTCTGATTTCTTGTAAGAGGGTTAGTTCAAAGGTAAGCTAGAAAGTACTGTGCTCCAAAATCCAAATTAAATATTTGAGAAACTCTGTAATCTTCCACCATAAAAGATATGAGATGTAGATTTTTTATTATTTTTAAGACATTTCTATTTTTTGTTTATTATTTTTATCCTACCTCAAATCATGTGTTAAAGACAAGTTAAGTTATACATCAGTAATGGACTGAATATGATTTCCGTATCCCTGCTTTCTTGCTCCATTTCCTTGTCTATTATCTATTAAAGGAGTGCTGTGAAAGATAATAAGGGAAAGGAAGTAAGCATAGAAAAGGAAAGCAGAGAAATAATTAGAAAGCCAGTTCAGAGCAAAGGTCAGTTCCTGGCCCAAGGGAGACCTGCTAGTCCAAGAGTACCGGGGGGAGTGTGGTCTTCTAAGCTCCCTACCCAGGGCCATCTGGTGGGACTCAGTGGGATGATTCAGTCTACTGCAGTTGGTTGTAAATCCATCTAATTGCTGGATTGGGTTTTCCACCAGAGAACTAAAAAACAACCTTCATTCTTTGTTTCGGCAAAAATGAAAACCAAAAAACTGTATTAAGCTTCCCTTGGTTCTTTGCAGTTTTATTGCTCTTCAAAGACACTTTTTAAAAACAAATAAATAATAAAGTCAAGATCTCTAGTCTCCTAGAGACTGAAAACTTTGAAAACTTTGAAAACTTTAAAGAAAGCTGTAGGAAAAGTAGATCTCAACACTGAAGTTTTCAAAGTTTAGTATTCTTACTAATTATTTTATCAAATTATTTTATACATTTTTAAAAGACATAAAAATAGCCATGGTGCTCTTGGAAATAAATATTAGGACCATTTTGTTGTTGTTGTTGTTCTCTCAATTCAGAACAATTGCCTTCATTCTTAGATATAGTTCTTTCTTCTCTGCCTTTAACTTTCTCAAATAAAATCTCTTAACTCATTGTTTCAAATCACAGACTAAATCTCATTTAAGAAAAGACTAATAGGGCTGTCCAGCTCATGGCCTATGGGTTACATGTGGCCCAGGATGGCTATGGATGTGGCCCAAGACAAAAGTGTAAATTTACTTAAAACCATTTTTGCTCATCAGTTTTTGTTAGTGTTTCTATATTTAATGTGTGGCCCCAAACAACTCTTCTTCTTGTAGTGTGGGCCAGAGACACCAAAAGGTTGGACCCCCCGAGTCTATCTGTAGGCCCAGAAAAGACAGTCATGTGAACCATTGTTCCATAATTCTGAATCTGTATTTCTGCCACATGAAGGAAGTTTGTCAAAACTATTTTGTTACCATTAGATTTTATGTAAAATCACAATAGGCAAAGCATGGTGGGAAAGTAATACTCAAGTTGAGCAAGAAAGACTTTGAACAAACAAAATTGTCCTATACCAATTCTGGCTGGGAGACTCAAGACTAGGAAAGTGGGCTCTTATGTATAGTTTAGTATTATTTTCATCTCATGTTTGTTATTTTGAATAGGGATAGGGGTTGTGTTTCTCTTATAATTATTGGTTCATATGGAATATTTTTTGTTGTTTTTTTTAAAGATTTTATTTATTTATTTTTAGAGAGGGAAGGGAGGGAGAAAGAGAGAGAGAGAGAGAGAGAGAGAGAGATCACTGTGCGGTTGCTGGGAGTCATGGCCTGCAACCCAGGCATGTACCCTGACGGGAATTGAACCTGCAACACTTTGGTTCGCAGCCCACGCTCAATCCACTGAGCTACGCCAGCCAGGTAGAATATTTTTAAGTAACAAAACTTGAACATAAACCAATGGTTGTTTATTATCTTTAAGGTTGAATTTACTACCAATGCTGTTAGATTGTTGTAAGAGACAATGCATAACAGGTTGCTAGAAGAGGACTTCATTCATTGTAGGTGATGAATAATACATGCCATGTATTATGTTTTGTGTATTATGATGATGGAAGACAAAGACATTTCCAGTTAGATATCATTGGTCAGAGTGGTGAATCCATAGATGCCACTTAAGATAGAGATATAAAGGTAACCAACAGAAAAACACCCAATCAATAAAATCCTTTTCAAATACCTGAACATACATTATACAAAAAAGATACCAAACATAATTATAATGAGATATATTTGTAAAAGCTTATCTTTAATATCAATATGTATAAATGTGATAAATGTTCCTATTAAGAGAAATCAACTTCAGGATTAGATCTTAAAGCAAAACTCAACCATATGGTGCATGTAAGATCACATCTAAAACAGAATAACTCAGAGAGGTTGGATATAAAATTATGGGTACAGGTATGGTAGGTAAATACATAAAGTAAATACAGCAAATACCTCAAATTTTTAATGAAATTTGAGATATTCATCAAATGAATGAATTTGGATTAAAAAATCCCATTAAATAAGACAAAGAAAGGTACTTTATAGTGGTCAGGTAGAGAAGAAGAAACTGATTTGCTTGCACTCTAATTACAGCTGTGCAGATGATATCTGCACATGAGGGCTGGGGAACAGGGTAGGTTAGAGTGATAAGACCATGGATCTTTTCACTTGTTGCCCTTTCATTAATTCTGTTATAATTAATAATAATAATAATAACACAATTAGTTTTTAAATTGAGCACTGATTATATATATTAGAAATGTAGAATAAAATTCCTCAGATACATCTCATTGCCATAGGAAAACACATATCATTGAAGAGAGGCTTTGTCTATTCAAACCATAAAAGTCTTTTTCTTTACCACCAAAATCATTTTAGCTAGATGGTTAGACATTTGGTCCATTCTAATTTGATCGTTATTAAATCCAGTGTCATTCTTATCATACGTGGCTCTTCGGCTCTCCCTCCATTTCTGCAGCAATATGAGAACTGGAGGCCCAACCAGCCTGACAGCTTCTTTTCTTCTGGAGAAGACTGCGTGGTCATCATTTGGCATGAGAACGGCCAGTGGAATGATGTTCCCTGCAACTATCATCTCACCTATACTTGCAAGAAAG